ATAAATGAGTAATACATATTGATGTCTGGTTGTCGTATACTGCAACACAGATATTCTTGGACATAGCAGTGTTGGTTGATGCTCAAGGAGACATGCTTGATAATATAGAATCACAGGTACTGAAATTCTTTATCCTTGTATTATCCCTCTTTAAAATAAGTATGGGAACTTTGGTATACTTTTATGTTTCCTCATTTCCAACAACCCGAATTTTCAGGTATCAACTGCTGTAGACCATGTGCAATCAGGGAATACTGCTTTACAAAAGGCAAAGAAACTACAAAGGAATTCCAGAAAATGGATGTGCTTTGCCATCATCCTCCTCCTCATAATTGTTGCAATCATCGTCGTTGGTGTGATTAAACCATGGAGCAGTAACAAGGGTGCTTAACTTATTCATCACCCAGTTAAGCAATGTATACATATATATAATGGATACTATCACTGGATATGCTATTGATATATACCATTTCTTGGTTTTGTACATGTGGACCCTGGGGCTTATCTCTATTTATAGAGTCTGACCTGTGATTGAAATATGTAATCTATTCTTTACAATCTTGATTTTTACCTGGTTGGGATTTGGGAGAATACTACTCTGTAGTCTGTACTGGAAGAATACTATTCATTCAAATTTTATTGAAATCGTGGTGTCTGGGCCAGCTTGCGTGCATTAAACTCCAATGTCTTTTGCGTGAACGAGGTTGTGTAGGAAGATTTTATTAACAAGTTGAATATTAGCTTGCAGATTATTGCAGCTAACCAAAAGAATGAGAATTTTTCTTAAATCCTTTTTGCAGTCTGATTCTGCTCAACTTTAATACTTTCCAAATATAGCATCATTTAATATAACTTAGCTTGAAATCAGCTTCTTTAACTTGTTCAGATTGATCTTAACAATTAATATAACTAAAAATTTTTATATACGTTGGATTAATTCTTCTTTGCTTACTATCTTTGCCATTGTCATTTTGACACAAGTCGTGTTGTAGAATGAACAATAAAATCTTTTTCCCCCAAAAAAATGTCAGAAGCTACTTAAATTCCATCAAAATTTCCAAGCTAAATTCAATTACCTCTTTTTATCTTCTTTTCAAAATCAAGAAACTCGTGGCTAGTTCCTAAAATTTGACAAATTGATCAATCCTAACATTATTGATTCATATTGATTTGAATGAGTGCAATTTTGCCTCCATCAGCCTTTTGCCTGGTCAAAATTATTAACCATAGCTAAACAAAAAGAAATTTATAAACTAGCCGGTAATTTGTCCGTTCCATTTTGTATGACACTATTAGTATTTGAGGAGTCAATAACTTTTTTCTTTGACTACAATTTTTTCAAACATTCTTTGAATACATTTTAATTATGAAAAATTGTATTATGCAATATTTTAATATTTTATTTCTAATTATGCAAATTTTGTTTTAAAAGAATAAAAAATTGATGTCTGAATTGAGACTGAAATTAGAAATTTTGACTTTTTTTTTACATAGAACCCCTTTATTCTTCTTGAAATGATGAGAAAGTACTACTATATATTTGCATAGGTCAGCAAATAACATGAACCTCCATTTTGAAGTTTGAACTATCAAACTCAAATATCTTATTTCAAACATCAGCTTCCATCTCTTTCTTCCTAAATAAATGGCTAAAGATTATGAGCTTCATTTTGCTAGCAGTGCATTTTTTTGTTTCTCAGCTCCCGTAGCTTTCGTCTCTCAGTGTCAGTGTCGGCCCAGCAGAGTGCTTTCGTCGTTGGTGTTCTTTTCGATCTCTACGCATTTCACCGCTCCACCTGAAATTCCTCTTTGATCAGTGATTCACCGGCTACTAGATCGATGAAGAATCTCTCTAAAATCTGCTCTTTGATCAATGATTCACCGGCCACTAGATCCAGGAATCCCACCTTATTCTCAAATCTGGTGGCTCGGTTTATTGGCACGCAACAAAGCCACCTTGCCCCCCACTGCCACTAAATCACCACCCCCAAGTTAAACTGGTACTTGCTGTTGCACCAGGAGTCGTTGCACCAGGTGCTAAAGCATGGCTGTTTTGTATCCATTGAGCAAAAATCTTACTTTAATCTGCGTTGGGGATGGGATTGCGTACCTGTCTAGTTAGCTTGAATGAAAGCGTAAGGCAAGCCCAAGGGCTAGTAGTAAGGCATTGGGGATCATAGACCACTAAGGAGAGAGGCCAGTCTTCCTACTCATCATAGGACTTAGCTGGGAAGAGACTTTTTTCTTCTTTCCCTGTCGATCTGGGAGCAGCCTTATCTTTTCCTTTGTACTATTTATAGTTGATAAAGAATAAGCTCGCCCTCTCAATATTTTGAAGGCTCATAACTCTGGTCGTGACAATAATGTCATTACTTTTGTTTGGAGTAATTAAGAATTCTAGTCCAAGCCGTGGGGTATTGTAATTTGCTTCAACTATTATAATTCACTTAATGAGAAAGCATTAACATGTATTTCTATGTTCAATTTGTTGTTTTTTTGGTGTACGGAAAAAATATCATGGTGCATAGACAATTGGACAAACTTAATAAAAGATTGTGGATGACTTAATTAGAGCCATATAAACACATTATAGATACTGTTATTTTCTCCCAAACCATAGTATTATTATTTAGTTAGATCATCGAATCCGTATTTGCTACTGAAATTTGTCAGATTTCTGAGACAAAAGAAAAAACTATTATCAACTGTTATGGAAGTTAATTTGACACAAAAAATGGTAAACGTACTTCACTTGAAGAATAATAGCCTGTTTGACCAAGCTTTTTTTTTGGTCAAAAGTGATTTTGGCTAAAAATTAATGTGTTTAGCCAAACTTTTAAAAGGAAAAAAATGCTTTGAGGAGAAGCAGAAACAGTTTTGAGAAGCAGAAAAATGTAGTTTCTCTCCAAAAATATTTTTCTCAGAAGCACTATTGAGAAAAATACACTTAGAAACAGTTTTCAAAAGCTTGGCCAAACACTAATTACTGCTCAAAAATATTTTTTAAATTAATTAGTCAAACACAAATCGATTATCACCAAAAATATTTTTCTCAGAAGCACTATTGAGAAAAATACACTTAGAAACAGTTTTCAAAAGCTTGGCCAAACACTAATTACTGCTCAAAAATATTTTTTAAATTAATTAGTCAAACACAAATCGATTATCACCAAAAATATTTTATTAAAAAATACTTTTAAAAAAAGTACTTCTCAAAATAATTAGATTTTAGAAGCTAGATCAAACAGGCTATAAGTCTCAATCAAAATTCAGGGAGGTTTAAAGTATATATGAGCCATACTTTGAGGGGTTATATGTAATTTTAACTTTTCTTTTAATTTCAAAATTGTAGAAAAGCTCCGAGCTCGCGAGGGTTTAGCAAAAATGGAGACTGCAAAAGACACCATACACCACGACGTCGGTTTGGAGGCCGACGGCGACGACGATACGCCGGCGCTAAGCTCTCATGCACTAGAAGCACTTAAAGAGTTCCTCGACGAACAGAATCGAGCACTAGCGGAAGCTTCGTCAGCTGCGGCGGTGGAGAAACAAGGGGAGGATGCGGTGGCTCTTGTGACGGAGGATTGGCGGCTCAGCCAGTTCTGGTACGATCGCGAAACAGCTGAAACCGTCGCCGCTGAAGTCCTCGCTCTTTGCCAGTCGATTGATTCGCCGGCGGTTGCTTGCATTGCTTGCCCCACGCTTTACGCTTACCTCAAGGTGAGGTATTTTAAGGTTTGATTATTTCAATTCTACTGTTACAGCGTAGAATGTCTTGCTTATAGTTTATTCTCACAGTAAGTGAAACCGATAAAGCACAGTAAATAATCTAAGAATATTGTTAATTTCATCTTTGACAAGAAAATTAGCTTTTGGAAAATTTCCTAAAATGCGAAGAATAATTCTTGGCCCTGGGGCTTTGATTCAATAGCAAAGGTATTCAGAGGCTGGGCCGTGAATTTTAACAAGTTTCTAACGAAGGTGATTTAATTGAACCCACTTCCTTGGTTGTGGCTCCGCCACTGAAGGTAGTACAGCACAATGTGTGGTAGGCGCAACTCACAAGTTCGAATCCTGCTAGTGAACTGGTGTTTAGATGGAGAAGGTAGAAGACAGGCTAATTAGCTGGAAACAACGATAATTCTGTTATAAAAAGAAAAAAGAATAACAACAACAACAAACACACTTTGATCCCATAAATGGGGTATGGGGAGGGTAGTGTGTACGCAGACCTTAACCCTACCTCATAGAGATAGAGAGGCTGTTTCCGATAGACCCTCGGCTCAAGAAACAATAAAAATAAAAAGAAAAAACAATAATACTTGAAATTCTGATTAAGGAACGTTGTTCATTTATCTAGCGGAGTTTACAATTATTTGATAATTGAGTGTATTTTAATTGTCAAACTTGTATAATGTATAACTATTTGTTCTTTTATGTTTAGACATTAAAACAAATTACTTTTTTTTTTTCTTTCAAAAGAGCTAGTAAAAATAGCAATCTTTTTGTCCTTGTAAAGATGATCAAAAATTAGTTATTGAAATAGAAGCACTTATATATGCTTGATTGATTGAATGAAGGAGCAAGTTTAGGAATTTAATAAGATTTAAGACAGATGAGCTGGATTTTCATTGTGAGAAAAATATGTTAACAGGGAATAAACTTGAGGAAAAGAGATTGTTCATTATTAATATATGTAGCATTAGATATATTTTGAAGAACAGGGACAGTTTATTAACATTTGTAGCATCAGAGCTAGTTCATAAGGAGTTAGCATGCAAAGCACCCAAGAGCTTGGCCTAGTAGTCAATGAAGTGGATTGAGAACCATGAGGTCTCAGGTTCAAATCCCAACGGAGGCAAAAAATACTGGGTGATTTCTTCCCATTTGTCCAAACCTTTGTGGATAGAGTTACCTGGTACTTGTTGCTGGGAGGTAGCAGGTCTCCCGTGGAAACACCATGGTTATTAAAAAAAATAAAAAAGTTAGCATGCAAAAGCAATACTCACATGAGAAAAGGAAATTCTTTTCAAAAACTTAAATCGAAGTATTCTGTGTACATTCTTCTATATTCCCTTTCTATTTGTATCTCTCTGACTATTTCATCTTCATATATGTATGTAAATTATTTGCATGCACAATTGCGGATTGTGGAAGAAATTTATAATTTGTGTCATATTGTTTCAACCATATCATTGCACTAGTAAAAGTGCTTGGGAAGCAATTCCCGACGTTTTTCTTACATTTGCCTGTTATTTGATCATTAGTTCTTCATGGTGAACTGATATATTTTCCAACTTCTAATGCTTTGTCTTATTTCTCGGTCTCAGAAAATTGACCCTAATGTGCCAGCACAACTTTTGGAGTATGACAAACGGTTTGAACAATATGGAAGCGAGTTCACATTCTACGACTACAACCAACCAGAAGATCTTCCTTCATCATTGAAACACTCATATCCAATAATTGTTGCAGATCCTCCTTACCTGGTGAGAGCTGATATGTGCTGTATGATGAAGTGGTTCTATGATTATTAAAGAATATATTTTTTTGTACTATATTTCATCTTTACCTATGACTAGTTTGATTTCTGAAATTCCCTGTATACTTAAGAGATATCTATAAATAAATTGTCTTCCTTATAGTCAGAATTGTCGAAGATCATTCATTGCTTAATTATGGGTTTCTCACCTTTGGATGGGATGGTATATAAAAAAGTGCATAGTTTGCATGAAAGTATCCCAAACTTGACTGTTTCATAGTGTGGCATGCAAGTGTTTATGTGAATCTTATTCTTGCCCTTTTCTTTTCTTCTCTAAATTTAGTCACCTTAATATCAAATGTTACTTTGTCTTCTATCAGAAAACTCACCTATTAACCTCATGCTTCTTTTCAGTTTCTACTGGTCTCCATTAATGAGAGAATTCTATGCTGCTTTGATTGTTCATTTTTCTGATTTGTTATTCTTGGGGCAACAGGCATTTATTAATATCTAGTTGGAAAATGCTCATAAACATTATTTATCAAAAATAATTGCTCATAAAACTATTTTTATCTTTGCCTCTGTTTCTTTTGCTTTTTTTATTTTATTTGCATTGTCTTTACTTTTTATTAATCTGCATTTCCAAGGTCCGCATGGATTACCTCTAAGCCTCAAGGTCAGCATGGATTACCTCTCTAAAAATGGGAGGATCCTACTTAAAAAGAACCTGAAGATAGGCTTGCCTGAAAATGACCTTTAGAGCATCTTCAGCTATATTAGAAGGCTGTTTGTAACCTAGAAAAGAATATATACTTCTCGTTCAATTAACCTCTTTTATCTATGTTAGAAAACTAACTGCTTTTATGCACTGTTGTGACGATGCAGATGAATTAATTCCATTATTGACGTTACTTGTCTTGTGCAAAGTACGATGATTCATTCACATTTGTTCTTCTACTTTTCTGAGTAGGGAATGCTATGAAAGTGAATTATTCACATCATTGTCATTAGTTGTGTGCAAGTTTGACATTTATGCAATGGCTTATTCAATAACTGTTTTTTAATTTTCAGAGTCGGGAATGCTTAGAGAAAGTTGCTCAAACAATTTCTTTTCTCATGAGACCAGGAGAACCTTACTTGCTTTTACTCACAGGTACCGAATTTTATGTGGTGTTTTGGGACCTGGCCTCCCGTTGTTCATCTTGTTAATAGGTATTGAATCTTGTTATTTTTTCTTAAGGATCATTAAACATTGAATGTAGTTATTTCTGCCTGTCTTCATTCTTCATGGTTGTCATGAAGCTGCTTACTAATTTTAATAGTAGTAGCAAATATTACAACAACAACAATAACAAAAAACCCAAGTGTAATTTCACAAGTTGGTTAGGGAGGGTAGTGTGTACGCAGAGTCACAGACCTTACCCCCTATCTTTTGTGGAGGTTAGTAGCAAATATTACGTTGATTAAAAAGTCAAAACCATCAAATGGTTTAGAGACAAGGTTTATCGACTTTCATCCGTCTCCAAAGTTTAGTGAGGAGGATTTTTTTTTGGAAGGACAGAGTGAGAATGCTACTGAAGTAAAGCAAAGAGAGAAGAACAAAAAGGAGAAAAGTGAAGAAGGATATCCTGTCTTGAAGATAACCAGTGTATGCCTTGAATGTGCTTTAACCTCTCGTTTCTTTTTTTGGACATGCAGGTGAAGTGCAAATTGATAGGGCTTCGGAGCTCTTGGGTTTACGTCCATGCGTTTTTAGGCCACATCACTCGAGCAAACTAGGCAATGAGTTTCGACTGTTTACAAACTATGACCCAGGGACGAGGCTAGGTGGCTGGGAGCAGGCGTAACAAACGCATGTTCAATCGGAAATCCTCTTCACCAAAAATGTTGTAGGTTGACAGTGGTTCGTGACAGAAGCTTTCTAAATCATATTTCAAGCTAGCAACATCCTTTCATGAAATATTGTTTGTACACCTTCTTCAGTTACCTAAACATACCTAAAAGAACAAAATATTAGAAATAACTATATAGCTCTATTCTGGTTTCACGCTATTTAAGGTGCTTGAAAACCCAGTATCCGTACAACTTGTCAAATTTTGTCGGCGTTTTACCCTCAGTTCTGCCTTATCCATCTTTACCTTGTGTTCATTTATAGGTTTTTTCATGGATTGTACTTTGTTATCTCCAAGTTGTGCCTTGTTACTTTTGTTTGGATATTTCTTTTTCGGCACAGTTAACTCTGACCTTCCTATCACCATGTGGTTTGTTTCGGTACAAATTCATCCACAACCGGGGTCGTTCAATAGTGGGATAGATAAGGATATCTCATGGGCTGAGTTATCCTACGGGATTAGCTATCTCACCTTCTATATGGGATAACTAATACTATCATTTTAATATAAAATTTATACCGATATTAGCTAATATTCATAACTAAATATGGGATAAATACAATCCCAAAATTTTATCCGGGGATTAGTATCTTTATCCCAATAACCAAACAACCCTTTAGTGTTTACACGAAATCGTATTAATTTATCATAATTAAGTTATAAATTAATGCGAAAATTTGTACTAATTAACATTGATTTAGTGATTGAAGTGTAGGTAAAGACATGTCTTATGTATGTATTAAGCTGATGTAAACATCAGGTGTGAGTAAAAAGTTCGAGTGCGAGTAAACTTTTACCGATCTTTACATCAGTACATGGTTGTCGCTTGGAACTCGCTGGCATTGCAATTGCAGAGGATGCAAATTTATTTGACCATACAAATCCTCATAGGAAATTAAATGATGATTGGGTGACACTGCATACTATTTGACCAACCAGTTTGAAGTAACAACAACAATTTCTACTAGTGGTTGATATGTCAGTTGAGATGAATGTTGTTGGCAGACCGTCACAATTCTAACCTTGCATTTACTTTCTTTTTAGTTCTACTCTGATCCCTTTATTCCAATTTGATTATATTACTAAAATTTTAAGTTAAATTGGAAGAAGATTGACTTTATTTTCCCAAAACTAATAAAACTATGTCTTAGAAATACATTATAAATTGTAACATCATACAAACTTTCCTATTTAAACCTCAATAAAAAAAAAAAGAAAAAAAAAAGGAGGAAAAGCGTCAATAATGAAAAACATCTTTGAATTAAAATATTCTAAACACTATATTCAAGCAGTCGTATGGAATAAATAAATAGATAAGAAAAAGAAGAAATTGACACGTCCTCACAGAAAACTTAGTAACGAAGAGATTACTATTCGAGTCCAAGCGGGTTGCTACAAATGGATTGAGCAAAATTCATTTATAGCTATTCGCACCAAACTTATAATATATGTAGCCCAAAATTACAATATACATTTTATAGCCCAAAAGTGATTTTAGTGGCTAGCCACCGAATTATACATCTGACCCACAAGCACAAATATAGGTTCACTGGAGAAATGATTTTCGGCCCAAAATGGTGCCGGAAAACTTCACCAGTCGAATCAGTGGCCGAAAAATTCACGGTCGCCGAAAAAGCTATATACCGGCCAGATCTGCCGAAATCCAAATAGCAATCAAACTATCTTTTAGATCTAGATTTTTATAATATCAAAAGCCCCAAAAACAGTAAATAAAACGAGAAGAAAGAGTCGCCGGATTTAATGGAGGGTCGCTGGTGTTTGAGTTTCAAAAATTCTTCCTCCTATTGTAAGAGGAAGTTGTATTCTCCTATTAGATCTTTTTCTAGATTTTGTAAAAATATACTAGTTGGGTACTTACAGTATCATGTGTTGCCAGAACAGCATATTGGGTAAAAGGGTATGACAGATTGAGGCGACAAAGTCCATTGTTTGTCGAACAAATACTCTTTGCTTTCTTTATGTTGTACATTGTTGATGAAATGTTCACATTCATGAGTAGTACGACACCTTTGGAGTTTTGATTTATGATGCCAATGTTGTACCTATCATCTTCCTCAATTCTGTATGTAGCTTCTATACCTTAACCAATGAGGTTCACATTAATTCAAGGTTGTAGGCAAATCTATTACAACCAACTAGAAACAAAAGAAAGCAAGAGGAATTGTATAGGACTGTCACTATACAATGTATATACAATAGACTGTCACTATATAAAATATATACAAAAATAGACTGTCATTATACAAAAAATATACTAAATAGACCGTCACCATACAAAATATATACAAAATAGACTGTCACTATACAAAATTATACTAAATAGACTGTCACTACACATTTTATATATAATAGACTGTCACTATACAAAATATATACAAAATAGACTGTCACTATACAAAAAATTATACAAAATAGACTGTCACTATACAAAAAATATACAAAATAGACTGTCACTATACAAAAAATATACAAAATAGACATTTCGGGCTATTAGATGTAATATGTTTGGGCCGGAGGGCCATTTCGTGTCAATGGGGAAAAAGTAGAAATGGCGTGGGATATCCACTTTTTAACATGTTATTTAGTTTTTATCCAGTATTTTTAATGATGAGCAAAAATAGCCATTACTCTATTAAAATTAATACGAAAAGATGTTTTTATCCTTTCTTCATGAGTGCTGTGTAAATATTAAGGCTATGGTGTCCTGAACATTTACACTACACACATGAAGTTAAGGATACTATATCCTTAATATTTACACTGCACATATGAAGTTAAGGACAGGATGTCCTAAAGTTTAACAACGGAAGGTGCAAATACATGACAATTTATCCTTAATATTTACACAACACTCATAAATTTAAGGACACCAATCCTTAATATTTACACAACACTCATAAAGTTAAGGACATTATGTCCTTAACATTTACACTATACACATGAAGTTAAGGATATCATGTTCTTAACATTTACACTGTACATATGAAGTTAATGACATGAGGTCCTAAAGTTTAAAAACAGAAGGTGCAAATACAAGTTAAGGACATTATGTCCTTAATATTTATATTGCACATATGAAGTTAAGGACGCCATGTTCTTAACATTTATACTGCACATATGAAGTTAAGGACCTGATATCCTAAAGTTTAACAACGGAAGGTGCAAATACAAGACACGTTGTCCTTAATATTTACACAACATTCATGAAGTTAAGGACACCATGTCCTTAATATTTACATAGCATCCATGTCTAGCACAGGGATATTTTCGTTTGGGCGGGTAAAAATTTATTAACCATTAGCTAAACAGTAAATACATTTTAAACAGTGGCTAAAGAGTAACATCTCTAATTAGTGGCTAATTGTGCACTTTCCCTGGGAAAAACATGGGGGACCGTAGATGGTCATTTTCTCAAATGGATTCGGATCGGACTTTGAATTGATTCAGATTCATAGCCTGTTTGGCCAAGTTTCTCAAGAGGCCAAAAATATTTTTTTTTTCTCAAAAGTATTTTTTTCCCTAACTTAGGTGTTTGGCCAAGCCTTTTTGGAGGAAAAAAGTATTTTTGGGAAGAAACAAAGCAGTTTCTGAGAAGCAGAAAAAAGTAGCTTCTTCCCAAAAGTAAAATCAGAAACAGTTTTGACTTTCTTCTTGCCAAAAATACCCTTAACAAAATATAGTATATACCAAAATAACTGTTAAACCTAATACTTAGGATATTAATGTATAAATATTTCTTATTATTTTTAGGATAACTTTCTAATAAATAGTGACTTTAGGGGTGAATGTTTTTATATTTGTTGAATGATTTTTAATATATTTAACTTATATTAAAAGAATTAAGTACTTTTAAATTATATTTTCATATTTACTTAAATAAAATAAAAAGATTTAATTATGTCTGTAATAATAAAATTTTAAGATTATTTATTTACTTATAATATTAACTATTAAGTAAATCTATTCATGTCTTTATTCGTAATTTGATACTTAAAATTACTTTCTGAAATGCTTGGTCAAACATAAATTATTGTTCAAAAGTACTTTTCAGAGTGATTAGCAAAACATAAAGTTATTCTCTCCGAAAGTACTTTTTTAAAAAATACTTTAAAAAAAAACAATTGTTAAAATAAGCTGATATATGCGGCTCGGCCAATCACACTATCAGACCCGATCCCATACCAGGAGTATATATAAAGAGACGGTCTTGAGTTCTACACTCCACCTGAAAAAACAACGTTCGAATTGGAAATCTCGAAAGAAGAAAAAACTCAGTGAAAATGAGACCAAACATTGTTTCTGAGGTAATTTTCTCATCATTTTCATTTTCGATCTACAAGTTATTCACTTATCCTTTTTGTATGCTAGGGTTCTATTCTTATTGAAGTTAGAAAAGTAGTGGGATTATGAAAATGTAATGAAAATGCTTGATTTTTGAATTCTGAATCTCTGATCAAGTTAGTTATGGAGAATTACAGTAACTTAGGGTTATTTTTTTAGCATTATTGAAAATTATAAGGTATTTTCATAATCATGATGCGGAAGTTAGTTTTCTTTTTTGGTCATGTCATTTATTGAGGGACTATTTATGGGAAATGGGAGTATTTCTGTTGACTGTATGTAACTGTGACATGCACCACATATTTTGATGATACGATTGGAAATTATTGTGATTTTTTATTGAATATATATTAAAATCGAGTAGTGAAAATTTAGTGTAATGGTGGCAAAGCTAATGAGGAATTCACGGGCAATAATGCATTTGCATAAAGTTTTTTTTTTTTTTTTTGTAACCTTGCCTCAGCTAGTGCAGTCGATTTCAGATGTTGTTACTAAAGTTTATATTCAATAACTGTAATGTTCTTTATATTCTTGCAGTGATTATGTCACTGTATGGCTGCAAAGATAATGTGCTTTATATTGCTTTTGAAGAATGATTGTTCCTCTTGAATTCGTTAACATTTAAGCAATTCATTATTATAATGGATTGGCCAGTGATTTTTTTTATTTTAATCAGTTCTTTTCATTCCAAATTATGTGTTATCTTTTTTTTCTTTTTTTTTCAAAAGACTTCTATTAGCTCTTTATTTTTAAGTGTCACTGTGAAGCAAAAAGTGATATTAAGATCATGGACTACCGAGTTATCAGATCCACCATTTTACTCTATTATTCTGCCGATAAGAAGCAACTAGAGATATTATCTTCTTATCTTATCCATTTTATCTCGTGTTCTACATATTCCTACTTCAGACAATTAAAATGGAACATATTTCTTAGTACTGCATTATGATTTATGTCTAGCTTGGAATTGAAAGACGGGTTAGTGGGAATAAATAGCTTTTATGTTGACTCACTTGTTCCATTTGTTTGTAGGCGGGATTGCAGACAAGGATGGGACAGTGGTGGGAAGGAATTCCTGTACTTACATCTTCAGTGGTGGTTGTTTGTGGGGTAATTTACTTGGTTTGCCTTTTGGTTGGATATGACTCCTTTGCTGAAGTATGCTTCTGGCCCTCTGCTGTAATTTCTCGATTTCAAGGTACACGGTCACTTATAGTGCTGCTCATATATCAAAATGTGCCTGTTAAGAAGAAATCCTGTTAAGCTGCACTCAAATTACTCTTTCCATATCTGAAAGATAAATTTGATTTAATCTTTTCAATTGAATTTGAGGATGATTATACGTTGCTATTGTCTAGCATCCATTGATGANTTAATCGTTCACTTGCTCAAAAGCTGCTGGCACCCTTACTCTTTCATACTCTTCTCGTTCATTTGCCACACACATACTTAACTTTCAAAAAGATACCACTCGTATTTGTCATTCATTCGCAATGAATCACGCAATTTCAACTTTGATTTGCTTTCTCTACAGTGCATGTATGCCTTTTGTGGAACTATAATTTTGATATCCTTTCTTTCTTTGTCATTTCTAGCATAACTTTGTATCTTATTTATGTTGACAACCATTTTATTTTTGTGTTTCTCTGTCAGTTTACAGGATTTTCACCTCAATTCTGTTTCATGGTTCTCTACTGCACGTTCTGTTTAATATGTTAGCTTTGGTTCCTTTGGGTTCTGAGCTGGAGAGGATTATGGGATCTGTGCGCCTGTTATACATAATTGCTCTGTTGGCCATTAGCAGTGCCTTATTCCATCTTCTTATAGCATTGTTGGTTGCTCATAATCCCTTTCATCCTTCTCCATACTTTATGGACGAATGTGCTATAGGTTTCTCAGGCATCTTATTTTCAATGATTGTGATTGAGACGAGTCTAAGTGGGGCTCAAACTAGAAGGTTTGTTTGTTTCCTGTTTCTGGATACTGTATCTTCTTTTTAAATCAATTAAAGTATGGTTTTTCTTCGTTTCTTTCACAGATAGGTTTGGGAAAAAGACTGTCTGAAATTAGATATGACTGGTCACCTTAGATCAATTTTGAGTTGTTGGAATCATGTGTTTGTTAATGTCAGTTTGCTTCTTTTTGCAGTGTGTTTGGGCTTTTCAACGTGCCTGCTACATGGTAACAGTGTAACTTTCCGATAATTGTACTTTGTTGTACGTTTCACATCATAGAATCTTATGCTATAATATTGATTGTTTTTCCACTAGGTATGCATTGATATTATTGGTGGTGTTTCAGCTTGTTATGACTAATGTCTCCTTACTTGGACATCTGTGTGGTATTTTGTCTGGATTTGCATGTAAGTAACTTTCACCCTGCTGGTCCTTCTTCAAGTTTTCAAAATTCTATTCCCTGTCATTTGTGATATCATGATAATTACGTCCACAATCTTTACATCTTAATTTGTGTTCATATATCTTTTAAAACTTTTTCTTTTTTCCTTCCCTTTTCTTGATGGTACCAGGTACATATGGATTGTTCAATGTTTTGATACCGGGGACTTCTTTCTTCTCGGCTATTGAATCTTCCTCATATCTAGTAAGTTCTCTAAAGAAATGACAGTAAGATACTCCGATATTTCTTAACTTTTAAACCACTTGTGTGCTCAACTTTGAGGTATAAAGTGACATGGAGCATCACCCTTCTGATTGACTTGGCTTGCTTGTTTGCTTCATTTTCCCTTGATACTTAACTTCCCACCTTGGTTTTTTGGCATCTTGTAGATAATAAAACCTTAAATAGGACAAAGAACTATGGCATAAGAATAAGTTAAGCCTATTATCAAAACAAAAAAAAGAATAAGTTAAGCCTATGATCAGGGCATTTGCATGGTAAATTGTCACAGCCAGAGACACTACTAATAGCTGACAGGGGACGGATGATTTAATCCAAAATAGTCCTGTGGTTAACCAACCGAAAAGATAATGTGTTTGCATCTTAATTAGTACAAGACATTGTTGCCTCTCGTTTACTGCTGCCGTGGGTGGTTTGTCCTAGGCGATAACAATGTCGTTAAGTAGATGCTGCTTCAAGTCCTTGTACTGATTCTATATATTCCCTTCTCTGAAATCCCAAAGATAAGTGTTTCAGTAGGCCGTATTATATCTCTGGTTCATTCTTTTCTCAATTGGTAAATGTAAAATTTTACTAGAATGGCAAACTCCAGGGAGTGGACAAGAACCCAAAATTTTGATAAGAGAAGACCCAAAAGATCACAACCTGTGGGGGAAACACTTTTATAGCTGTCGAAAACTATCCAAAATTAAGGCACTCACATCTTTTTCCCTTTTGATTGTCAAACCGGTTAAGTCCCTTTAGGTTTTGTGTATTTAACTTGAACAGGAGAAAAATTGTTTGTTAATTATTGTTATATTGAAAGTTCAGTTCATTGTAACATTTTAGTGGTTGAAGCATGCTTTTTTCTAATGGCACATCTAAGCCCTCGCCCACCTCTCAATTTCGTTTTGGTTGATGCACTTCAATGACAAAGTGAAATTAGCAAAATACTTATATCTATCTTTTGGGCAGTCAACTTGCGTGAGGCGACCAAAGTTTATTATGTGCACTGGTGGTAATGGTGCAGGATACCTGCCCACACATTCAAATCAAACTGTAACCTCCAGGTAGATCCTGTTTTTAATTTCGTATAATCTTACTGATTTAATCTGAGCATGTGCAAAAATAGTGATGTTTCTTCCTTTCAGAAGTGGAGTGCTTTCTGGAAATATTTGGGAGAACCTTTCTTCATGGATGCCACAGAGAGAGAACTCTGCTCAGGTATCTTCCAGATTATCCAGACTGGCTTTTTTCTGAGTACACTAGAAGATAAACATATGGATATTGGATTAATCTGACCTTGCTTCTCTTTAGAAATAGTACATGCATGAAACTATGTTTGGTAGATTTTTTGGGTAAGGAATATATGAATAGCAGTGAGAGAGATGGTAGATAAATGACACAAAGGAACCCTATGTTTGTTTGATTTCAATGCTGGTGATGAGAAGCTTATTAGGGAGAACAACTTCTGTCTTGTTATCTTTGAGACTGTTGACCTTCGTACTCTATAAATTGCATTGCAACCCTGTAACTGTGAGAATAATTGCACAAACCTACCCAAGTTTCCTGTTGTCACATTTAAAGGTAATCACCAAAGTAGTGATTGAAATGAACGTAAGTAGAGACCATATTAGTTGGAATCAGGTAAGAAAAAGAAAATAGAAAACAACATCTCTTTCTTTTTTTATTTGGTTCCTATTAAGTAATTTTTGTATGTTCTTTTAACTCTTTCTGGTTTTGAATAAGATTTAAAACAGCACCACTATATGAAGTGGTATAATTTGTTTGTCAGTGTCTTGTAGAGTAATTTATTTATTTTTTCCTCTTATTCTTTTTCTTCTTTGTTTATTCTTATTTTCTTTTCTTGGGAGTGGGGATCCTAATTTAATTTTGCAAAACTTTAGTGAAGGTTTTCATAAATATGCGAACTACAAGGTTTGTTAAAATAGAATCTTCTCTATTATCTCACAAAAATGGATTTGAGTCCATTTCATAGAGCGAATAAGTTTTCAAAGCACGTGTTACCTCCTCTTAGAATTTTGGAAGAAAAATCACAGAAGTTGGAATGGAGAACTTTTGGTGATTGATAGAAAATATAAACAGTTGAGTGTGCATGAAATAGAGGGGATTTCTCGGACTTAATGTGGTACGAGCCCATATTTCTCTCTCAAATGTCCCATCGACTGATCTAGATTAGAAGGAGTTGAGAGGGTATGGATGTTATTTCCCTATCAAATTAGCTTGAGTGTAGTGTCTATCTTGTCCTCCTTTTCTTGTCAGTAGAAATTTCTTTTAACAAAGTAGGTAAAGCTGTAATTGAGCTTGGTCTGTAGTGGGCTGTGAATGAGAGAAAGTCAATGCCATCCTCTAACCTGTGTATTGATGAGTCTCGCAGATGTACTTATCAACCCTTCTCTTGCAGAATTCTCAACAAACTACACAACTGCTTAATAGTCGCTACTTACATAGCTCTCTTTTGTGTGTGTCCTAATGTATAGATAAGAATAAAAATCTTGAATTGAAGTCTATCAAGTTGTTAACTTGTTGAAAATGCAGCCGGTGGCAGATGATACCAGGTTTCCTGGGAGAGGAAGAACTCTGACTTCTCAAACCTCCACTGGAAATCAGGATTCAACATTACAGGCCAGGCTCCTGAGTGGTAGCGAGAGCCCTGAGCGTATTTCAGCTCCAGCGGCAATAGGTGGAGAGCGGAGCTTAACTGGAAGGTACTAGAAACAGACTGTTGTTACATGCTAAATTGACGGTAATCATATCGATTTTGAATTTATCTTAATCATTGGTTGTTGCACGAAGATCGATCTGTTTTTAATTGCATTTCACATTCTGCTGCCTACTTATACTGCTATCCGATTTAGTGATTAGCTGGCATACAGGTGTTGAAATTGGCATATCCAGTAACCAAGTTTAAGTTATATCACTACAGATAGGAAAAGCTGGTTTCGTTCAATGTGTTCACAAAACTACACTTCGACTTCGTTTACACAGTATAATTTCTTCCGGATTTTCTGATTTCTATCTATATCAAAGTAGAGTTATATCAAATAATCCATATCATAGTAGAGCCTCGAATTTCAATAATTGGCTGGCATTCAACTGCGGATAGAGATTGATAGCTCAACTTTTATTGTTAAAACCTAAGAGCTTGGTATCGTGATTTGCTCTAAACACATAGTTATATTTTGATTCTGTGTGACAACTCAGACAATCGGCAGTAGATACTACGGCCGGAGCTACCAGACCGCTAGGACAGCAGGTATATGATCTAGACGTTGGACCCTTGCTAACTGTTATCCTTACAATTGTCAATGCTAAAAGTATCTCTTTGTATATAGGGCTCTATTCCCTCAGATGAAAAGGTTCAGAAGCTAGTTGCAATGGGTTTTGAGAAGGTACATTTATGGTTCAGATTCGCTTAATGGTGGTGGTTTTAGTTTAAATGCATCATGAATGCGCTAACTTCTGGCTCATGAATGTGCTAACGATCTTGACTTTCTCAGACACAAGTAGAAGTTGCACTGGCAGCAGCTGAAGGGGACTTAAATGTTGCTGTGGAAATTTTAAGCCAGCAGGTACTTCTTTTCGTCTGTTTCTTATCCCCGACATGGGGGGCTAATTATTCTTAACGGTTTCAAACGTCTCATATGCAGGGTTAATAATATGAAATGCAATCATCAGATTAACATCACTACATGATTCAAAATGCCAAGGCTCTGCAAAACCAGTTATCTTACCACTTGCCCTGGGTTCTTCCTCTTTTTTGTATATATTTTCTGACATCAAATTTACCCAATAGGCAATAGTTTCCGGGAGAAAGCCTTTATGTGTGTGATTTACGTCTGACCCACATAAAGCAGATCTTAATTGTATACAGTATCTACTTTTGTGGTTTTAAATGCTGCAATATCAATGAATTATCTTTTCCTGTCTTTCCATCTAATGTGGTAATCAATTCCTTTTTCTTTCTTTTAATTGCAATTCTAACTGCAACTATCTTTCTTTTTCCTCCTTTTTTCCATTAAGTTTCTGGTCTAACACAGGAATTTCGGCTCTGATAGTTGTTATACATGATGAGCAATTTTATCTGTGTTAAAGAATGCATGATGGAACTACATCACGATTTCGAATCCTCCTAGCACACAAAGCTCATTTGCCTCATTTGTTTATTTAATATTATTTAAGATTATGACGTCTGAATCTGAATATATCTGAATGTTGTATTAAGATTTATCTTTATTTAAAAATTAATAAATATAAAATTCAAATAAAATACTATATATATATATATATATANGATGGTGGGTGGTGATAGTTAATAATGGTGGGCGGTGCCGGCTATGATTGTTGATGGTGATGGATGGTTGGTTGTGGTAGTTGAGGTGGGTGAGTGTGTAATTGTGGTTGGGGGTGATGGGGGTGGGGTGGTGGTAGTGGTGGCGGTTATGATTGAGTATGGTGGTGGTAGTAGTTGATAATAGTAGGTGGTGGCAGCAGTTAGTAATAAATGGGGATGCTAGTATTTTAATGAAATTAAGTCTATTTATAAACTTTAATTATACAGACCTATTCAGTCATCAAGTGGTTGTGATATAAAAACACTTAATGATTAAGATTTAGATTTTAAAAACAAATCCACTTATCTGAGATCTGAATAATTAAAATTCTACAAGTAAACTTGTTGCCAATTATTTAACCTTAATTAGTAGATTACGGACTAAATAAAATTACCAATTTAGGTGTGTTGGAGAAAACTATTGAAGATGTTTCAGAGAATTGAATATCTAAGCTTAATCAACAAGAGAAAGAACTAGTGTTATCTTGAACTCTCTCTCTCTCTAACCGTAGATGTCATTAGTTGATTCTGAAAAATTGACTTGCTATCACAATTAAATTGTTAAAAGATTTTACTGTGAAACATCTCAATCCAGTGATGGGCTAATAAATCATCATTGTCTGTCATCAAGAAAGATGAGGGGGAAAAACGCATCATCAGTTTTAAGCAATAATTGTTTCCACATAAATAACTCGATAAAATAAATGCAGAGAATTAACACTTCTCCCAGTCCAGCGGGCCTTCATTAACAAAAGAAACAAAAATATAGCCGACAAATGAATAATTCACATACTTGAGAGCGCGGTTTTCTCAGTTTCGGCCAAACTAAACCAACAGCAAAAACAAAGACAGAGATATGAAGCAAAGAAACATATATCAATACTATAGGGAGATTTTACAAACCCATCCCTCACAAGTATGACATTACATACATACAACCAAACTGAGGAATGGGAAAATTCTGTAAAATAAAATGCAGATAATGCAAGTCCAGAATGCACCCAACTATATCAACTATACATCCCTTCAACCAAAATCTTATATGCAGAAGATAATGTCAAAAAGACCCAACCCTCAGCAGAGTAATAGCTGAAGGTGAGGGCAGAAACTGCAGCGCACATCCTAACTAAACTAAAGAGCAAAATACAAACCTCCCTTACCCAAACCAAACTAAAAGGAAGAACAATAGCCTGCAGTCTGACCAAATTACCAGGAGGAAAATAATATTCATGCTAATCTCTTCTCTTCATTCTACTTATCATCCTGCCATAGCTCACAACTCTTTTACAAATCCCTTCTAGCTTTTGAGGGGTGTACGCTGTACAACCAAAGCCCCCCGCTGGAGTATCACAGACCCTTTTCAATTGTATATCTTGACTGGCTTTTCAAAGGTGTGGCGGTTCTGCAAAATTCAGAGTGAAATATTAAAGCATAATAAACTAATAGAGGTCCTTTTAACATAAAATGACCACATTATAAGGCAACAAGCCGCTCAAAGGGAAGGTCCAGCACACAAGTAATATTAAACTGATGTTTTTTGGTACTATACATGCAAACCACTAATTGAATTAATATCATTGTGAAAAATGGCAACATCAGTCATATCTAATATCTGACTGCACCCCACAAAAGAGAAGGTCCAGCACAAGAGAAATTAAACCATGTCTGCAACTATTAATTGAATTTATTATTATTATTTTAATAATCGATCTACGACCTGAATACCTTATCACATAGCAAGATCTAGGTCACAATCTAGTCGCTAAAACTACAGTAAAGACAGTAAATCTTAACTTGGCCCTAACAGTTCGTCAAAAGCTAAAAGCATGCAATAATGAAAGTAAATTAATATGAATCAGGTTTTGTAGATTATAAAAGCATAAACCTGTTTCATGTAACTGACACTATGTACTTTTTGGCATTGTTAAGAGTGATTAGTCCCTTTGTATTGACTGATCAAGACAAACTAATTCTTGTCAAAAGTGATTAGTCCCTCTGTACTAATTTTTGTTTTTTCTGAGAAGTCCTTTGTACTGATTTAATAGCCTAATTCGTTCAGTTGTTTATAGCCGAGCTTTCCCTTTGAAAATTTTAAACTACTATATTAGTACATTTTAGATTATTGTAACCCTGACATGACAATTGCCCATTAAAGTCCTCAAACTTTCCATAATTTCAATTACAATTTAAATCCTACTATACCAAGCTCAAACATAAAAACATATCCTTAATCCTAATTGAAATAAGAGTAGAGATCTGAGCATCCACAAAACCTTAAAGCAATCTGTAGAGTGGCTCAGGACATGATAAAATCCATTGGAAACCCTTAAACAACAAATGAGGGAAAAGTATATTTACTAACACCTTCCTGCACGTATAACCTAGTTCTAGGGTTTACACGTTGACTGAAGATAAATTTTTACCCCATTTTTGTTATTTTTGTTTTCTTAAAATAAAGACAGGAGGCTCAATAGTTGCTATAATTGTTTTTCCCACTTCAAAAATCCTCATTCTCTTTTTCTATTGCCATTCCATATTTCCCATATAAATCGGAACGATGAACTTATCCAGAAGAAGAAAAAATCAGAACAAGAAAGGCATGTCAATGATTTCCATTCAGCTTCCTTGCATATATAATTTATTAAATGTGCTACAATGGGA